GAGGAGGATATCGGACCAGACTGTCAGGAACCATCTTCGCGAGGCTGGAATCTGACCCAGAAGACCAGTTATCGTCCCTGTTTTGCAACAAATCCATCGACAGCGACGCTTGCGTTGGTTATGAGCGTTTTGCCCCACATTGTGTACGTGAATGCGGTGGCGGTAGTGTCATGGTTTTGTGTGTGTGTGTGTGTGGGGGGGGGGGGGATATCCTACACCACCACGAGATCTGACTTGGTTGTGGTTCAGTGAAATTTGGGCACGCCAGAAACCTATGATTGTGGGTTCGAATCCCGGTTCGCCCCGATTATGTTTCTAGGTTTGTCAGCACCATACCCGTGCTCGTGGGTTTCACCGAAGTGGTAAACGTCTGAGACCTGCATCACTTCGGGCTTTCCTCCCACATTAAGCTGACACGCCGCGCACTCGAATACTGTAAAAAGCGGCGTTAAACCCAACTCACTCACTCATTCAGTGAAATGTGACAGCAAATCGCTCCATGAATCAAATTCCTCGACCTCACCTTCTTCCAATCATTGACCGCCAGAGATAATGTTTCAACAGGGCAACGCTCCACCGCACACAGTTCAGCGATGAGCATCGGTAAGCACATGACGATAGCGTGGAAAAGCATCAAAAGTATGCAAATATACGGATCAAATACACTATAATATGTACAAAGGGGATGACGATGCGCGCCCACTGTAGACAATCTGTCACATACTGCCTATGGAAATACTAATATAACAGATAATATGTGATAATAGAATTGATTTCTATGGTTGGCCCTCACTCTATGAACGTTTAGACTCCAAGGAACACACAGAGTGAAAGTCAATTCTTATCATTTTTCTTATACATACATACGTAAACAAGTGTGCAACACTTTAATCGCGTAAAATCCTAAGTTGCCTACGATCCTTACGCAGCGTGCCTGGGGCCAATAATTATAACATACAAAACGTCGGCGCCAGAGAACATCGTCTCGACCATCCATCGAAACAGACCACACTGGCCGCAAAAGATAATTAACGGTGAAAGTCACATGAATTGATTGGCGAACACCTGTGATGCCACCAGGTGCCACGTAAACAACCCTATACTAATTACATTTATGATATTAACCTATTTATTTTGAAACACAGATGAACTTAATCGAATTTCGAAATTATAAATGACCTTTCTCTCACGAAAGGCTCGCGGCTTGCACTATTCATTCACTCGGGACAGATCGTGTGTACGTCCTCGCAGCTTATTGGCTTTACTCCCATTAGGATTCGGGGGTATTTTTATTAAATCGATTATCTTTCTCCGAGTGGTTTTTGTTATCAGTTACAGGTGGCATATGCACGGACAAAGGACATGTTTTGTGATAAGTGTACCCCCCAAGCACTGGTCATGGTACCAGTATTTAGAACTAAGTTGTTCGTTTGTTTGTTGTTTAACGCCGCATTGAGCAATGTTCCAGCTATATGACGGCGTTCTGTAAATAATCGAGCCTGGACCAGACAATCCAGTGATTGACATCATGAGCATCGATACAAGTAATTGGGATACGATGACATGTATCAACCAAGTCAGCGAGCCTGACCACCCGATCCCGTTAGTCGCCTTTTACAAGCATAGTCCGCCTGTTACGTATACGGCAAGCATGGGTTGCTGAAGACCTGTTCTTCAGCGGTCCTTCATAACTAAGTGTATCCACTCGTTTCCCGAGTATATTCAGTGTGTGACTGTCTGGTGTATTTGAAAGTTAACGCCATTGTGTTCATCCGCCGTCCGTGTATATTCTGTGTGTCACACTGTCCTGTATATATAAAGTTAATAACGTCAGTATATAACTGCATACATAATTTTAATAATTACATGAAAAGCGAACTTTAACAAATTCTGTCAGTCAGCCTCAGGGGTTAACGCGCACGCGCACGCACACGCACACGCACACGCACACGAATCACCACTGATTCACCAGGTAGAATATGCAAACGGCAGTGAGATTCCCTAGTGCAGGTTGGTAAAGTATTAGACAATGATTGCAAGAACATAACGAATTACAAAACTAAAACTAAAGCTATACAATTTAAAGAGCAAAATGCGTGAAAAGGAAATCGTTTTCTCTGTGCGCGACTGTGCCACACTCCGTTGTTCCATCCAATAGTTACCTCCCCTGGTGATATACAACACCCAGTTGATATCAAAAGGCCTGATTCAAGTGTCGTGCCGCAGCACCGCGCATGCGCTCTATGCACAAGCTGTCACCGACTTGTTCTCGGTGTGAGATTGAGCGTGGCAATGTTTACAAGCGGCGGTGGGGAAGTGACATCGAATTCCAATACACGAGGGTCGACAACAGATAGGAGATAGCCCCATTCGTACACCGACATCGCGCCTGTCAACTGATCGACTCGCACGAGCTGGGACGCACGCCGGTACCATCTCGACAACTCACGATTTCACTTCAAGTTGTCAGTCAGTCAGCGATTGGATTCGGAAAGTCACGGTAGGAGGACCTTTACAGTTGTATGTTAGTTGTCATTCCTGCTGCACAAGGCTAGGCCGATTTTATTGTGTAGTCAGGATTGAATTTTAAGTAGTTTATAAATGAGGTGAAGACTTAAGCTATCAGATGTACGTGCCATGGGTCACGCCGAGTGTTTGTTTACATGTTATTCGTATTTACACTCATTGTGTAACTTTTATAGGCATGCTCTTATCTAGTTGACGTAGGTTACTGACAGTCTACTTTGTTTGATCACGACAAGGAGTATTATGGTTAATCCATAATCGTTTTTTATACACAACGCTTCCGGACTATTTGTGTTTGTTTGTTGTTTAACGCCACACTCAGCAATATTCCAACTGTATGACGGTTGTCTGTCAATAATCGAGTCTAAACCAGACAATCCAGTGATTGACATCATGAACATCGATGTAGGCAATTGGGGTTCGCTGCTATGCATTATCCAAGTCAGGGACACTGACCACCCGATCTGAAAATGAATAGAGTCTCTGGGCTCCTTTTTATTATATTTTTTGTTAAGATAATTTAGCAGCTGTTTTTTTCTGTATGATATGTTCATTTCAGAGACAAGATGTTAGTCTACTCGATCCCCTTAGTCGCCTCTTATGACAAGCATAGTTGACTCAAACGACAAGCATGGGTTGCTGTAGACCTATTCTAACCCAGATTTTCCGGGTCTCGAGACTATTTAAGTGTTCCTTTATCAAAGAATTAGCCCCGAAACGTTGTGTTTGTATGATCATGATGATCAAAGACGTACATACATCTATATACGTCTTTGGTATAATAATTATATTATCTTATACATATATGTATAAGGGTTATGACCATAATACTCCTTGTCATGTTGAAATACGACGTCTGAATGCCAAAAAGACTCATACAATATTTGAACAATAAAAAGTCTTAATTAGAAACATTATATTGCTGTTTTTATTTTATAGCTGTTTTGTTTTTGTACAGATAGCTAATTGATTATATTGGGATGTTCTGAAACATTGCACCTATTCTGTCATTCGTTGTTAATATTTATCACAGCTGTCATGGCAATAACTGGTATGTAAATTCACAAAAAAATGAAAAATTGTGAAAACATAAATTCTATTTGGAGCATTATCAAACTTATCATAGACTCAGTTATAACCTCGATTATGTAAATATATGTTATAATAGCTGTAGCTTGACATGCTGTATGCAGAATCAACATTATTATATATAAATGGTACATGTAATCGCATTCTCTTATCAAAGTCTAACAATAAATTGTGTATTATCTAAATTAGATATACAAGCCTGATCATCTTCAGTATATTTGTGACCTGTGAAATCTGGGGTAGATTTGTCTCCAGCAGCCCATGCTTGCTGTGAAAGGCAACTATGCTTGTCGTAAACGGCAACTAATGGGATCGGGTGGTCAGGCTCGTTGACTTGATTGATGCATGCTATTGTATCCCAATTACGCGGATACGTCCAGACTCAATTATTTACAGACTGCCATCATATAGCTAGAATATTGCTGAGTGCGGCTTTAAACAACAAACAAACTAGCAAACAGAGTTTAAGTTCATAAGTACAGGCATAAATCCGGTATTTCTGCATTCCATTGAAACAGAAAACATCCCACACTTGTTTGCCTAGTCCTGTAATGGTGTCCCACTGCTCTCAACACTCCCAGTATCCCATGAAATAAACACTCCTTGTGTCCCCAGCAAACAGGAATAGCATTCACAATTATGCAGTCTGTGACGTGTCTGAATCTTGAGTCTAATAAAATGTATTCTGGTCAAGTATAATCAGCTTATACTTTCCCCCAAACTCATTGTAATCAGATCGTGTATTTTGACATGATAAGTCTGTGAATGAAGACCTGACCCTCTTTCGTGTCCAAAGGAGGTCAAGTCAGGTGAACACTTAACAAACTTTGATCATCCAATCTAACTGAAGGATACTTGGGTTCTTGAGTCAATCAGATGTCTGCTTTCTAAGATGATTCATCTGCATGTCTTTACCATCTTGATTCTGAAATCTTCATTTGTACAAAAGAAAACAACAAATTAATGAACACAAATATCCCAAGATGCAGTGTCTGAAACCTAAGGGACAGCACATTTAAAAAAGTGTAGGCCCAGTGGAAAAAGTGTAGGCCCAGTAGAAACACTGTGAACCCCAAAATGTTAGCTGAAGCAGGGAGACAAATTCTTGCAATATTAATAACAAAACACAACCAACCAGAAGCTATCACACCGAGTTCCCAGAGACTCTGTGGTGATAGATGAAGCCTTCATTTATCAGGAAACTATCAGCTTGTAAAACATCTGTGCGACTACATGTACTAACCATTTGAAAGATCTAATCCTACTGTTTATACAAATTAAAGTGTTAATCACATTACTTAAATAATGCTTAATAAATAATTACTTGAAAAAACTTCAGGCTGTAAGGGCCTGCTGAAATGTAAAATTATCAGCCGAAGAACAAATCTGTTGGCATCGGGCCTATTGGCCGATGTCTTTTTTTTAACCCTGCCTAGATGGTAGGGCAGGGATGAAACACAAACTGTGCAATCTGATCACGATCAGATATGTGTCACGATACTTGTGCTTGGCACACGGGTGAAAATATTTACATTTGCACTTCTAATCAGTGTTTGGTGTAACAATTATTAAAGCAAGCATTAAAGCTAAGAATCAATATTGTTTACTTTGTGTGCAACTGTGATCGATTCTTACATCGAGAAGTAAAACATCGCGATCTATCGATGCATCAGTTTATTGTCCCACTACTACCAGGTGGTACTCCCCTGTTGGGTGTAGATGGCAGTCAGATGTAACAGGTGTATAACATCCACAAGAGTAGAGTGGGAGAGTGAGTTTGATTTTACGTTCAGAACTACAGATAAGCAGTGTATTTGCATAAAATACCTCCCTGATCCCATAAAAATATTCAAAACCCAATTACTTTCAATTAACTTGCATACAGAAACGCATGCATAAGATGAAAAACTCAAATGTATAAAAACAGCTTGCATAAATACCCATGAAGCTTTTACAGCATGCGTACAAAGGAGCTTATTTGCGAAACACAATTATGAGCTAATTTAGTCAAGCCTATATATTTACAACAGTTATATACATCTAAAACATTATGTCATATTTTTTAAATCTTAAAATGATCACTAATTTTAGGAAAAACCCAATATTATGAGTGATGAATAGATAAGTGAAAAAATATTGATTACCCAATGAAGAATGTAATGACCCCATTTGAATGGAAACCCTAGAGTAAAAACTCAATTGATCAAAAAAGTTGTCTGGAGCTCTGATGTTGCTTTTAGCAATATTCCAGCAATATCACGGCGGGGAACACCAGACATGGGCTTCACACATTGTACCCATGTCAGGAATCGAAACCAGGTCTTCAGCGTGATGAGCAAACGCTTTAACCACTAGGCTACCCGACATAAGAATGGAGGCATGGCCTATATAACCTACATCCAGAAATTGTTGCTTGGGTTGTTTTCAGGGTAAAGAAATCAGATATGCTGGTCGGAATCTTTTGCACACTTGTACTGAGAATTGAGAGGTCTTGATGCTGAACACTGATTGGAATGTTCAATTGACACTACCTCCTGATCGGGGTCCTCAGATCTTTACATGAAGAGGTATCATATCAGGGTAAAAGATCTGATATTTATGATATCTTGTAGTAAACATTTATGTGATAACACTAAAATCTACTGAAAATGATACCAAACTTCAAGCTGGGGCTTGTCAGCATGTAAGTTTATGGCATTAACATTATGAGCTGAATATGGACATGAAAATCATTCAGATTGCAAAGTATTTCAGATATTTGTTGGTTTGCAGTGAATGGCCCTGATTTATCAATAAACATGAGGGGCAGTCTGGTAGCCTAGAGATTAAAGCGTTTGCCCGGCACACCGAAGACCCGGGTTCGATTCCCACATTGGTACAATGTGTGAAGCCCACTTCTGGTGTCCCCCGCCGTGATATTGCTGGGATTATCCTGGAATGTTTTACCTATGAGCAAAAATCTCCTCTGGTCCAGTGAGATTTTTTGTCGTGTAATGAGATTTTGCTAATTTTCAGAGATATTTCAACTTCACGCAGTGGAAACTGTATTTGATTTTCGGTACTTGTGACTCGAATAATGTTGCAATTAATGTTACAAGATAATATGGATATATCCTCAGTTATCCTTATTCGAACATTAATCATTCCTCCGAGCATTTTTAAAAATAATAGCATTAGTATTAACAAAACATAACATTAGCATGATTAGTACTTATATTTCTGTTGATTGTCTACTTTAGGAGAAATTACATTATTATTTATGTATTTCTGTCCATTGTCGACTTTACGGGGAAATATTTGTGAGGACAGTTATAGATCATTTAGGAGGCAAGCTTACCACCATCAGATGTTCATTTCATTGGCAAGCAGGAGACAACAATCTGCAGTTGTCATTGTTTTGTAGTGAAAACAGTACCGGCGTTTGGGCAACCATATATCAATTAAAATTTCATTCTGGATCAAAATTGTTTTGTTTTGTTTGTTCTCCGATGATTGTCATAGCTCTAGGCCTTGTTTTATGCAAGTGTGCCAAGGATTGTTCCGTGACTGTTGAAGTGAGTGTAGTAAGTTTGAAGTAGACCCCACAGTATTCAACCATGCTTTGTATTTAACTGGATAAAAATCAATGCATAAAACAATTACAGAACATATGTCACAATAACAGCGGCGTTGTTTGAAGAGCTTAGTGCCACAATCCCAGCGGTAATTTTTTTTACTGCAGCTATCTACTTGCTGGAACTGTCTTAAACATCTTTTAAGTCTTAACTTCCTTAAAACATTGCAGTACATACATCCCATCACTGTTTGATGTCTTTGTAGATGTAAACGACGGCTGTGACCTGCCTCGAGTACCCATTGTATTATTACCTCTCCATTCAATTATGA